AGTGGAAATGCCCCTTTGGATTTCGGAGCCTGCAGCGCTTGACCTGAGCAGGCAGCCTCGTCTTTCTCCCACGGGCAGTTGGCGGGTTCACACGCTGCCTGGCTGCTTGCCTTGCCCCCGGGCTCCCAGGACTCCTGATCTGCCCAGAGGATGGTGAAGGCCTTCCCTTCGTAGGCATGCCGGGCATGCCCTCTCTCTTCTCAAGAGGCACTCTGCACCCCCTCCGAGACCCTGCCAACCGTCTGGGGCCCTGTCTGTCGGCGAACATTTCTGCATGAGCCAGGCCAGGCACTGAGCCAAGCACTTTACAAACGTAGACCTGGGTGTGGGGCAAACCTGGTCAACAGGTAACAAATGGAGGCTCAGAGACAGTCAGAAACTTAGCTCAAGTCACATAGCCAAGGGTTAGAGAGGGCTTCTGAGCTTTCCCCCACCCAATCGAGGTGTGACATGAACTTGTCTCACGTGGTCCTCGTGGTCCCCAAAGATACTCTCAACACCTGTCCTTTCTCAAGGTGTCAGGGCTAATACCACGGGGCTGGACAACCCGAGTAGCCACAGGGAGGTGACCCAGGTCACCAACTCCACAGGAATTCTGACAGTGATGACAGCCTGGAGCAGAAGGAGGGTCACGGAAGCCTCCCGTCTCCTGCTGAGCAGCAGAAAGACCTTCACAAACCACGCTGAACGAGTTGTTGGGTCAGTTCTGATTCCTGGGAAGCCCACGTGTGTCAGGCTAGAATTGTGCACCAGAGGGGTTTCCTGGCTGCGACCTTTAGGAAGCAGCTCACCGGCCTTTCTTCCCAACTTTTGGTCAGTAGTCAAACACTTAACCGTTCAGGCCAACCGGTAGCCTTAACAGCCAGGGGAACGGAAGGCTGAGCCACTTCCTTTCTGCCTCTCCCACCCTGAAACCCCCTCCTGCCTGCTCTCAACTCAATCCAGGAAGGCAGCAAAAGGGTCTTTTGAACTAACCTGGGTGAAACCCCCAGCCTCTCCCCTTTCCCCAGCCTCTGACCACTGGATTCCCCCAGCTGTGACCTCTCCGTGGGGGACTGGCTTCACCGCTGAGCAATGGACTCCTTCCTTGCTGGTTACTGCCAGGGCCGGTCTGACAGGCGTGGCCAGGCCTGCTCGGGAGCCCGGCCTCCCGACTTGGCACTGAATCGGTTCTGCTTTGAGTCACGGACAGTCAGTTCCTTCAGGGCAGGGGCCCTTCTCGTTCATCTCTGTCCTCCTTTGTTTTTAAGGACTCGGGACACGGTTCTTGGAACAAAAAGCGACATCAAAGCAAGCACCCACTCATTGGTGTGACCTTGTTTTCTGAAATGCTGAATGTCGAAAGGTCTAAGAAGGCTCCCTGCGATCACAACAACAGCCAACCTTCTTGGTTTTCACACGTGTTAACTCATTTCACCCCCACACTGCTCCAGGGGCGTTGCCTCCTCCTTGAAGTCAACGATGCTAAGGCACAGAGTAGCTAAGTAATTTACCCAAGAACACACAGCCAGGAAGGGACTGAGTCAGGTCTCGCCCCGAGACTGCACTGCTGGCCTTCGCTGCCTCAGCATCGGCCCCCTGAGGTCTCGCATGCCACTCTTGGCACACACCCTTTCCAGGGGTGCTTTTACAGTTCAATGAGCGCTCCCTGGATAGGCACAACACCCAGAGCCTAGATGAAACAGTAAGTGCCGCCCAGGCCTCGTAAGAACTGGTCTCCGCCCTGCCTCCGAGGGCCTCCTCCGGCAGCAGGTGAGCTTCATCAGCTGCAAAACCCGGAGGAGGCCGTCCCACCCTCCAGAGAGCAGGCTCTGGGTCACAGCCACCAGGCTTCAGCCTCTGATTTGTCACCAACTAGTTACGGGGCTATTGCCGAGGGATGTAACTTCTTCTAGCCCCAGTGCACGCTTCTGTAAAACAGGGGGACTGAACGGGACCCCAACACCACTTTGCAGAGGGCTGCTCAGAGGGTTAAAATGTAGGTGAAGAACAAGCCTATTCTTAGACATAATGCACCATAAATGATAGTTGCGGCTGTGGCGGTTGAAGAGTTATCATTTTTCCAGGGAACTGGGGGGGCCTCAGAGGATGGTACCCCAGAGGAGAGTGGATTGGTTTAAGCATCAGAGTTCGTCTGGGTCAGTGGCACCTTCTCCAGGAAGCCCTCCTTGGTGGGTCTACACCAGTGCACCCCCTCTCCCTCCAGTGAACTCTGCCGGCTCCCTCATAGCTTTGGTATGTTTAGCCGGCAGGCTCCGTGTTGGCCTGGTCTCCCCAGCCAGACTGGAAGCGCCTTGAAGGTAAATTACTTTCTCCTCCTGACTTTTGACAGCAAATGTGCCCCTTTGTCAGGGAAGGAGGACCTGTAATGGCAGTGCCCGTTGTCACAGGGCTGACTGCCACACGTGGTGACCTCAGGTGTTGCAGAGCCACTCGACAGAAGGTGGCCCTGGCTGTGACCGTCTAGAAGCAGATCACCAGACTTTTCTTCCAAGATCCTGTTGAGAGGGTTCAAACTGCCCGCTGAACTGTCTGAACCACCCATATCATGATATGAGCATCTATTGATAAACTAGCTCAGGGGCTACGGTTTGTGCCGGTCCTGGGGCTAGACAGGAGAAAAACCCGACCAAACTCTGCTGTCCCGTTGATGCTGACTCAGAGACCCTGTAGGACAGGGCAGAACTGCCCCCTGTGCGTTTCCAAGACTGTAACTCGTTCGGGAATAGAAAGTCCTGACCATGCTGATCGCAGCCTCACGCGGAGCCACTAAGTCACCAGGGCTCCTCAGGTATAAGGAAAGGGCGTGTCTAATGGTTTGTGGGAACTGTTGAATGCAGATAGTCTGAAAGGTAACTTCTCCCACCCCCACACCTAATTCACAATTCAAAAATTCCTTTACAAAAAATTCCTTTTAAAAAGTTCGTGGAAAAATTATCTTTTCCAAAAAAAATTATCTTTTCATTCCATTTTCCCATGAACTTGTGATACCCACTGTCGCGTGCACCGGCATGCCTTCCAGCTCCGCACCACCTGAGCCAAGTGCTGTCATAAGCAATGGCTGGCTATCACCGTTATTTTGCAGAGGGAGAACCAGGAGCAGGGAGGCCTAATAGATGCTCAAATGGAAGCCAGGTGTGTTCCACTCCCAAGCTCAACCTCCTCGCACTACTTGCGCAGAGAG